CTCAAAAACAACTGATGCCAGATAGAGTTACAAGCTTGGTAGATTATTATTATTATTATTATTATTATTATTATTATTATAACTTTATTTGTACCCCGCTAGCATCTCCCGAAGGATTCGATGCGGCTTACACAGGCCGAAGCCCCAAAACACAATACAACAATACAATTCCTAAAGCAAATTAAAAACAGTTAAGCAGAAAACAATAACAGTAACAATACAACAAGACACTATTAAAACTGGGCTGGCCAGAGTAGGGGTACAGGATTAAAAGTGCTGATGTGGCGGGAGGAATGTAGGATTATAAAGTAAGTGCAGTGTGCAGTGTGCAGTGATCTTGGTTCTATTAAAGTGCTTCTAGGACTTGGTGCTGGAGGTTCCTAATCTGAAAAGGCACATCGGAACAGCCAGGTTTTCAGATACTTTCTGAAGACTGCCAATGTAGGGGCCTGTCATTCAATGTAGATGAAGTGAATGCTGTAGATGTAGCACATCTTGATTTCAGCAAGTCCTTGGACAATGCTACAGAAGTGAATTGGGAATAGGTTAACTGGCTGAACCCAAAGGTGCTTACAAATGGCTCCTCTTCAGCCTGGAAAGAAGTGGCCAGTGGAGGTGCCACAGAAGTCTGTCCTGCACCCAGTGCTAAAAAAGCAGAGCACGATTTTTGCAGGCCCTGCCTGAGCAGAAGCCAGTGAAAACCCAAAAGGAGGGTCAGCTATGCCTGGAGAGACAATAAGCACCAATAAAAGTTTCCGTATTTCCCAATAAATCTCACCAGGATGAAGCAAAGCCACTGAAGTTTATTTTCTATTCCAGCTGGAAAGGATGACGACTGCAGTATCCTGCAAAGGAGCAGACATGACTCCTGAGCAGGGAATTACAGAATATAAACAGTTTTCCCAATTCAAATTTCCCATGCCTGTCCCTGACCAGCTTCGCTGTGATTGGTTGTTATGTCAGTGAGCCAGGAGGAGTGGCCGGCGACTGATGCGGCTCATCCAATCAGAGCCCGAGCCCCACTTCAGTCCATTCATAAAAAAGGAGGTTCATTCATAAAAAAAGGAACCCAATTCATAAAAATGATCAGATTGGCCTGATGCTAGCCTGGGTTTTAGGGGTGACACATGAGGAATTTCTGGGGTCTGCAAGCACCATCAGGCACCACTCGAGGCGACACACACAAGAAAAATGGAACTGATGTCATGCAGAACCATGGGACCACGAAAAGGTCCTAGGTTTCCACATGGGAATTTTGGATGGGAAAGATGGATCTGAGGGGTGTAGGGGTCCGTTCAGCAGAAAGTGAGATAGTAGTTAGACTTATAATTAATCAAGAAAGATGATAATGTTGGTCTGGGGCTGATCAGTTAAGTCACGGATACCGAAACCGGGGTGGGTCCCCGTATCCATGTTATAAAGGATCACCCCCCGGGACGCTGCTGGAGCGTCCCGGCCAAGCCAGCAGGGCTGCACTGCTCGGGAGAGGGAAAATTTATGGTTTAAGGCAGAGTTAGAGTAAGTAAAGGACACAATGTCTCAGGCAGGTAGCAGAAAGTTACTAAAAGGATACTTCTTTATTAGGGGATTGTTACAAAGAGGCCAAGGGAATCTGAAAGGGAGGAAAAGAAGAATCTCTTGTTGCAGCTGTTGCTAGTGGCTCTGTCCTGCAGATACTTGGAAAACTCACACTCCCAGGAATTGTGGAACCCCCTGCTGTGGTCAGATCAATTTGAAGGCAGGGGTTTTTGGATTAGATGACACTATTCAGCATCTTTATCAATGGCTTGGATGATGAGTCAACAGCATGATGCAGCAGCTAAAACAGCCAATGTGAGTCTAGGCTGCATCAATAGGCGCATTCCTAATAGCCTGGTCAAGATTGAGAGAAGTCAGAGTCCCACTCTATTCTGCTTTGGTCAAACTTCACCTGGAATGACCTACACCAGGCATGGGCAAACTTCAACTCCCACCATTCCTAGCAGTCTCAGGCCCCTTCCTTTCCTACAGCAGGCATGGGCAAGCTTCGGCCCTCCAGGTGATTTGGACTTCAATCAACTCCCACAATTCCTAATAGCCTGGTCTAGATTGAGAGAAGCCAGAGTCCCTCTCTATTCTGCTTTGGTCAAACTTCACGTGGAATAACCTGGGTCCACCGCAATATGATTTTATGATTGTCTCTGTCACAGTGATAAAACTCCAGGTAAAGGTGCTTAGTGCCCAGAATCAGGAGTTTTTCACCCTCAGGGCCCAGTCCACTCATGCACTGTAATTTCTTTATGCTGGAGCATGAAAGAGGCCTTGTCGTGCCAGTAAAACACGTGAACATGGAGAATGCAAGTGCATGGGAACAAGTCTTGACCTGCTGCACAGTACCTATGTGTGGGTGCTTGGCCCACCTGTCCTGGCATGCAGTGGAAAGGTATGGGGTGCCTTGGTGTGATATGGGAAGTCCTTGCCTGCTGGATGCATGCATTAGCATCTCCTTATTTTTATCTGGGAAATGTTGTTGGGAAAAAGCTCATTACGTTGATGTGCCTGCTGTGGGGTTTGTTTGTTTGTTTGTTTTGCTCAGTTACAAGAACTTGCACCCACTGGTATCTTGTTGTACTTCTGGCCGGATTTGGTCCTTTCTCACTATCATATAATTCAGTTTCTGAATCCAGATTATTTTATTTGAACTGGATTATCTGGCAGCAGGCCCTTTCAGACAGATCCTATATGCCAGGATCTGATCCCAGGTTTTCTGTTTATCCTAGATTACCTGGCAGTGGGGGACTCATATAAACAGATCCTGGGATACAGGGCCTGTCTAGAAGGGCCCTGAGGATGGATCTATACTACCATATAATCCAGATTCTGAATCCGGATTATCTGTTTTGAACTGGATTATCTGGCAGCGTAGGCTCATATAATCCAGTTCAAAGTAGATAATCCAGATTCAGAAACTGGATTATGTGGCACTGTAGATGGGGCCTGACTTCAAAGGGAAGTAGCAGCCAATAATGAAAGGACCAAGGGAGTGACATCTCCGTCCCATCCTCTGTTCAGATATCAGCCAGCACGCCAATACCTTAAATCAATAAACAGCTTTCTAAGATCTACAGAGCTACTTGCAGAAAAACCTCACTAGGCAGAAGTCCAAAAGTGGCAGGCTAAAACCCGGAACCTCAATCCATGGCTGATACCGGATGAGAAACTCCCTCCTGGGCACACAGAAGACTGGGCGACCTGGAAGGCGCTGAACAGACTGCACTCTGAATCTGGATTATCTGTTTGAACCGGATTATCAGGCAGCATAGGCTTGTTGTTGTTGTTGTTGTTGTTAATTAATCTTTTATTAAAGGATAAAATAGGGGTACATTAAGGGGTTATTTCTCAATTTATTTAAAATGTACAATGAGTCAATAAGAATGAAGAACCACCACCACTAGTAAATTGTGAATTGTGGGAAAGGGGGGGGGGTGTGTGTAAAGAAAGTAGAGAAGAAAAAAAAGAAAGAAAGAAAAAAGAAAAGGTGAAAAATTTGAGAAAATAGGACTGTGCACAGTAATCAATTTCCTCTGATGTAGTCCATTCAGGATATCTTGATATTCATATCTATTTCCCTCTGTCTCTCCTCATCGTATCTTCATTATATCTAACTTAATTTTAAAGAAGTTCTTAATTGCTGTCCAATCCATCTTTCTTATCGTGGGTTTCAGGTTTTTCTTGAGTGCATTTGTTAGACTACCCATATTCATTATGTCGAGGATTTTTATTGTCCAGTCTTCTAGTGTTGGGATCTTTTCGCTCTTCCATTTTTGGGCATTACTATTATATCATCATCATCATCATTATTATTACTATATTACTGACACAAAAACACAGCATGTGACAGCAAATGAGATCTATATGCTGGATTTCTTATCATAAAAGCAAAAGGCGAACACTTCCCAAGTGTCTAGGACTGTGTGATGTATTTTCAAATGATGCGTGCAGATCCAAATAAGGTGGCCTTTTGCAGTTGACAGATCGTGATTTTGTCAATGTTTATTGTTTCCAAATGTCGGCTGAGATCTTTTGGCATGGCACCCAGTGTGCCAATGATCACTGGGACCACCTGTACTGGTTTATGCCAGAGCCTTTGAAGTTCGATTTTGAGGTCCTGATAACGGCTGAGTTTTTTCCTCTTGTTTTTCCTCAATGCGACTGTCACCCATTATGGCGACACCAATAATCTAAACTTTTTTATTTTCTACAATCATGATATCTGGAGCATTGTGTTCCAAAACTTTGTCAACCCCACAGTATTTTGCATGTTCATTTTCCACTACCTTTGCAGGTTTATGATCCCACCAGTTCTTTACTACTGGCAGGTGGTACTTGTGACATTGCCAACCCATACTTTCTTTTTTAACACGAGTGTGAGTTCAGGAGTATTGCACTCCAAAACTCTGTCAGTCTGAATTCGGAGTCCCAGAGGAGTTTGATGTATTCATTCTCTGTAACTTTTTCCGGCTTATGATCCCACCAGTTCTTTGTCGCAGGCAGATGGTATTTGTGGCACAGGTTCCAATGAACCATCTGAGCAACGGTGTTATGCCTCTGCTTGTAGTCTATCTGCGCGATCTTCTTGCAGCAGCTGAGGACTTCCTTGCAGAGTCTACATTTGGGATCTGTTGTCAACTTTTCAATTCTGGCTTTGTTGGCATTGGTTCGAATGGCTTGTTCTTGGGCTGCCAAAATCAGTCCCTCTGTCTCCTTTTTCCAAGTTCTATTTGTGAGCCATATCCATGTTTTTTCTTTGTCAATTTGGTTCTCAGTTTTTCCCAGGAACTGTCCATGGAGAGCCTGGGCCCGGTTCATGGTTCATCCCTCTCCTTCCAGGAGGCCTGGCTCTTTAAGGGCTGGCCCCGCCCCTTGCCTCTTTTGGCGAATCTAACCAGGTAGGCCTCACGGGGGCGGGGAGAGAAGGCGAGAAGGAGGCGGGGCTTGCGCCTCGAGGGAGAGGCGGGGCCCCCCGCGAGTCAGAAGGAGGGGCCTCGCGCAGTGGTCGCCAGTCCGGGCTTCGCGGCGGCTGGAGCAGAAGCAGGAGGAGGAGGAGGGGCCGAGGCCTTGCAAGCTTGGCGAGTGGCTGTCTCCCCGGCGGTGCAGAAGAGAAGCTCCCGAGGCCGGAGATCAGGGCAAGGCAGAGGCTTGGAGAGAGGTATGGAGGGAGGCCGGGGAAGGCCCAGTCCGCGGCCTGGCTTGCGCCTCTCGAGGGACCACTCCCTCCAGCGCGAGCCCCAGGCCCCTGGAGGAGCTGCATGCTTGGCAGAAGGGACTCAGTGCTTCCCAACCTGTGGGCCGCAGGGACCTATTGGACTTCATTTCCCACAATTCCTGGTCGTGGGCCGAGCTGGCAAGGGCTTCTGGGAGTTGAAGTCCCAAATACCTGGAGCGCCAAAGGTTGGGAATCTAGACCAGGCATGGGGAAGGTTGGACCCACTGAGTGTTTTGGACTTCAACTCCCACCATTCCTAGCAGCCTCAGGCCCCTTCCTTTCACCCCTCAGCTGCTTAAGCGGCTGAGGGGGGAAAGGAAGGGGCCTGAGGCTGCTAGGAATGGTGGGAGTTGAAGTCCAAAACACTCAGTGGGTCCAACTTTCCCCATGCCTAGTCTAGATGGATATAGAGAGAGCTCAGCTTCCCACTGGGCCCCTCAAGGGAAACCCAGCCAAGCAGGTCACATGATCTGGCTGAGCAGACCCCGCAGTGCAGTTATGCCCCTTCCTCCAACAGGTGAGGAGGGTCTCCCTTTCTCCCCCCCGTCGCCCGCCATGGCCATGAGGGAGCTGGTGGAGCCCGAGTGCGGGGGCTCCAACCCCCTGATGAAGCTGGCCAGCCACTTCACCCAGGACAAGGGCCTGCAGCAGGAAGGACTACGGGGCACCCTGCCATGGCCTTCTGGGCCACCCACAGCCGAGGTGGTAAGTAGAAGGAAGCTGTGGGGTTGTGAGAGGGTGTGGGGAGAGTGGTGTGGCTCAGACCATCCCAAGATTGAGGCCAATTAATAATAATAATAATAATAATAATAATAAGTAGTAGTCAAGGTGATCCCAGTGGTGATCGGCACACAGGGTGCAGTGCCTAAAGACCTTGGCCTGCACTTAAACACAATCAGCACTGACAAATTACCATCTGTCAGCTGCAAAATGCCACCCTACTCGGATCTGTAGGCATTATTTGCCGATACATCACATAGTCCTAGACACTTGGGAAGTGTCCAACATGTGATCCAATATAACAACCAGCATAATGATCTTGTTTGCTGTGTATTAATCTTGTTGTGTTTCAAATAATAATAATCATCATCATCATCTTTATTTATACCCTGCCACCATCTCCCCAAAGGGGACTCGGAGTGGCTTACATGAGGCCAGGCCCAGTGATACATTACAGCAACATAAAATATAAACAACAAAATAACATCACAATAAAATAAATAAACCAATAAAGTAAAATAAACAGTACAAAGTAACATAATGGAAAATAAAACACAGTGGGTGGGCCAAAGGTACGACATAAAATGATAGTACACTGGATGTGAATGATGATGATGATGATGATGATGATGAACATGGAAAAATACTGTGGGACTTTTGAATCCAGACTGACTAAGTTTTGGAACACAATACACCAGACATCACAATTGTGGAAAAGAAAAAAGTTTGGATTATTGATGTCGCCATACCAGGTGACAGCCGAATTCATGAAAAACAACTGGAAAAACCCAGCCGTTATCAGGACCTCAAAATCGAACTGAAAGGCTCTGGTATAAACCAGTACAGGTGGTCCCAGTGGTAATTGGCATACTGAGTGCCATGCCAAAAGATCTCAGCTGGCATTTAGAAATATAAACATTCACAAAATCATGATCAGTCAACTGCAAAAAATCATCTTACTTGGATCGGCGCGCATCATTCAAAAATACATCACACAGTCCTAGATGCTTGGGAAGTGTTCGACTTGTGGTTTTGTGATATGAAATCTAGCATATAGATCTCATTTGCTATGACGTACTGTGTTTTTGGGTCAGTAAAATAATAATAATAATAATAATAATAATAATAATAATAATAATAATATTTCTTACCTGCCTCTTCTCATGGCTCTCAGGTGGGTTACAAAACAATTGTTTGTTTTAGTATGTATTTCATAGAGATACGTTTTGTATGTAACTTTTATGGAGGTACGTTTTAGTGTGTATATTTGTAGTGTTTTTGTTGTGTTTATGTATTTTAATTGTTTTTTAACCTGCCACGAGGAGAGGCAGGTAATAAATGAAATAATCATAATTAGTTATTATTACATGGTTCTTAAAATTCCATTGGTTTATTCTCTGCCCCTCTGAGGCCACCACATTCTCCAGATAAATGGAAAATGGATAGTCGACTTTTGATTTCAGGAGCTGGTCTGCTGATAGTAAGAGATTAATCATAGGTGATCACTTTCGGCCGAGTATGAATGTCTTCTCACTATATAACATGATTTTTGTTCCTGGGTTATAAATGTCATTTCCTAATTGGTTCTATCATAAACATATGGGGAAAAAACTTAGTAAACTGCAAAAACTTTGCTCTTGTGGGACATTCTTCTGTATCACATTTTGCTATTGTTTTCCAATGAATATCTCAACCAATTCAACATAGTTTGTGGCAGCCACCAAAACAAAGTGTATAAGAGTATAACAACTACTTTCAACATTAAGTACCATACAATTAAACAGGAAATAACACTTTCAAACCAGGAACAGCAAAATTTTCAAATTATGTTACATAGTGTGATAATTTACTTTATTTATACCCCGCCTTTCTCCCCGAGGGAACTCAAGGAGGCTAACAGTCATACATTTTGATCCATTTGAAACAAAGCAAATACATTTTTTTTATAAAAAAACCCAGTATTTTTCGTGTTAAATTCAAAATACAGTTAAAATACCACAAAATGTTTGGTTTTTTAAATATCACATCCCCCAGAAATCCCACCCACAACCTCCCCATCAACATGCCCCTTCTAGAGGTAGAGTCTTGGCCGTGGATCAGTGAAGACCTATTCTGGATCTGTATGGTATTTCACATAGATTTCTAGATAGCAGGTGGTCCCAACATGGGTTTGCTTGACATGCCTTCCTCTTGTCATGTTTCACCCTTTCACTCTCTCTTTGTACCTCTTCAAAATCCATAGAACTGTTGGTAAGAGCTGACCTCCAGTTGCAATGCTTGAGAACCCCGGCTTTTTAGTTCTCTGTATTTATACCACATTTTTAAAGGTTAGCTTTAAGCCCGTTTTTAAATCTCTCTTGTCTGCAAACATTGGTGAGAGACCAAGCCACAAAGGGCTTAATTTACTTCTGGAAGGAAATGAACAGGAGTCTATTTTAACATCCCACTCTAACTTGCCCCATGCATTGTCCAAAATTGGCTGAAAATCACAAGTGTCTCTGAAGTAGCTCCCTAAGCAAGCCCACCACTTTGGAGGTGGAATGGAAATGGGAGGAGTGTCCTCCAGATGCACTGTACTTTGGAAGTAAAGTTTAGATGGGCAGTGGAGTGTATCTGTCTGATGGGATCCTCACTAATGTTGGAATCCAAGCCCACCCTGTCCAAATCTCAAGTCCTCAACAAGGATCAGTTAGTTTAGGATAGGCTAAGGGAATTCCCTTCACCCAAGTCTCCTATATGACAATTGGGGGTGTATCTTTTTCATCTCCTCTCTTTCTACTCTCATTCTGATTGGTTATTTATGAATACTTGTCTACTGCAAGCCTTTTTTTAATCTTCTGCCTTCTTACACTTTAGTATGGAGAATACAATATGTATTGTGTGCTTTGAGATCTCTCTCTGCTTGTGTGTCAGGAGAGATGTAATGATTGAGTTTTTCCCCTTTTTTCCCCTTAGGAGAGATGGGTGTTAGAGTAGCTCAGATTCAGTTCTTCACCATGAAGAAATGTAGTTAGTTCTTTATTATTGTAAATGGCTTTTATTGTAAATGATTTGTGATTTTTTAAAAGATCGGATTCTGCGTGTTTGCTTCGTAAGCTCTGAAATCTTTGCGGCCACATCACATGGCACTGCATGTTCTGCTCGCCTTTGGGCTGATTGCTCAACTATTGGTATCCAGATTGACTTTTGGATGCTCTGCTTTATTTTAGGGTAGCTTTCCCTAACAACTAGACCCAAAAGTCGTTGTTGGTGTTCTGCCAAATATACATTAATGTCCTGATAGCTTTGCCACTATTTTCTGAGGAAATGAGCCTGAGAAGGCCTACCTGAGTTGTTCGTTTAAGGGCATTAAATCCTTCTCAGGAAGATTTAAGAACCAGTTATATGGGAATCCTAATGGTTTTGCAAGAGTCTTTCTAAACACAGAGATCACTGAGATTGCAACAGTTTTTGTTACAAGTAAGTTTGTTGAGCTCTACCTGGGATGATGTGCAAATATTGTCTCATCTGTTGTAGGAAAAGAGGGGTCCTGTAAAATTTGGAATGTGCCACCTCTCAAATGTTTCTTTTTTTTATGAGTTCTCGGATAACATTCCCTTTTCTTCTGTAGATATCTAAACCTCTTGGAAGAGCCTCAGAAGACGAAGTAAGAACTTCAATGATTTTTTTCTCTTTCCTTCCCGTTCTGTTGTGTGCTCTGTGTTTTTTAGAGGGGTGGCTTTGTTAGCTATTGCTGTAAAAACAAAGACTTGTGAGTTTATATTGACTACAGTTTGCTTAATCCTCACAAGATTAGACAGTCATTCTCCCATTGTGGTAGGGGCTAGGGCCACAAGATCATAGCAAATGTGGGAAAGCCCAAATAGCCCCTCCCCTGTTCTTTCTGGGACACGAGGGGCCCAAACCATGCTGCTCTGCCCTGCTCCCTCCCCCAGCCTGCTAACTGGGCCACAGTAGTTGCCACAGCTCCATGGCCTCTTTGCAGCGTGGCTGCCATCTCAACCTCACAGGCCTCAGCCAGTAGATTCTAGGAGGAAAAGCAAGCCCTATGCATTGACATTGCTACTAGTCCACAGCCTACTGCTTCCAGGGGAAAACAAAACCAAATAAGAGAGCCAGACGCATTTTTTCCTGTTTTTCCTGGAATGAAGCAGGTGGCCATACAAAACATACCAATAAATCCTCTAAGCCAAAACCCTTGTTTCTCTCCCCCCCCCCCCCCCCCCCCCCCCAGCAAGACTTGAAAAACAAATGGGAGAGGCTTGGCTTAGAGGATTTATTGCTGTATTTTGCAGTGCCACCTGCTTCATCCCAGCAAAACAGGGGAAATTGCTACTGGCCCCTTTTCTTGTTTTTCTGCCCCCGTCATGGCCCAGTTAGCAGGTGAGGGGTGTGTGTGTATGAGGGAGGCAGGCTCCAGCTCTGCTGCTGCCCTACATTTTTAATAAGAACATATGAGCCTCATTACATGTTCACGGACTACCTCACTCTTACCAGACTTGCAGTCCATATGTAGGGCGGCAGCAGAGGTGGCACCAAATAACCCATAAATAAGCAAAGTGACAAAAAGTGAAATCCGCAAAAGTGGAGGGCCAACTATACCATAACAAATGAATTAGTCTTGGAGTTGCCAACACCCTTAAACTATTCTGCAGTATTTACATACACTCTATTTGTACCCCCCTCCCCCTGAATGCTTTTTGGTAGCTGGTGGCAGAGTTCCTTCAAGAGCAAAATGGCCCCCTGCTGTCTCGTGCACCACAAACATTCAAGATGGATGATCTGTTGGCTGAGATGCAAGAAATCGAGCAATCCAGTTTCCGGCAAGCCCCACAGAGAGGTAAATATTACACAGGGGATGAGAGCATGTGATGATGGCATCCATTCCTGTCCAGAGGAAGGATTTCTCTGGGAATTGGAAGAAAAGTTAGTGAATTTAGGAAACAGCGTAAGGTGGGGAATCTTGTGTACTGGTACTACTCTTGCTAAAGTTTGAACACCCATGTTAACTTGTTCTCTGTCCCTCAGCTCCAGGGGTTGCAGCCCTGGCTCTGTCTGAAAACTGGTCACAAGAGTTCCTTAATGCTGCCGACAGTGTGGTTGATGTTTCTACGGATTATAACGAAGCTGACTGGTCCCAGGAGTTCATTGCTGAAGTTGCAGGTGAGGCAAGATTTTGAGGGCCAGCAGTATCTCATGAAGGATTTTATTTACCTGTCTGGCAGAATGGGCTTGGATAGGATGGCCCACGTGGTCTCTTTGAACTCTATGATTCTATGACTTAGCTCCATTTTCCAGCCAGTCTTATGAGGGGCATTCTTTAAAGATTTCCCCTGACCCACTTCTATTTATCACAGGATGTGGAAACTGCACATGTGTAATGATATAAGTCTCTATGGGTTACATGCCAATTTACAACTCAGAACTGATAACAGTCTTGTTTTTACAAGTGCTGGAGTGGTGTGAGGTTTGATAATGGACCCAGTGAAATATAGAGCAGTCATCAAGTTCCTTTACTTGAAAGGCCACACACCAAAGCAGACCTTCGATGAGATGAAAGAGGTTTATGGTGATAATTCCTGGCATTGTCAGCTCAAATGTGGCCGCACTTTGGTGCAAACAGTTCCAATTCCAGGGCGACTCCACTCTGCTACTGATGAACACACCATCCAGCAAGTGGAGGTCGGCATTTTGGAAAATAGCCTCGTAACCATTCGCCACCTTGCCCAAAATGTCAATATTAGTGTGGGGTCCATGGAAAACATCATCCAATATCATCTTCACATGCATAAGGTATCTGCTCGCTGGGTTCCCTGGCTGCTCACACCTTTTCAGAGGCAGGAATGTGTTGAAAGCTCTTGGGCTCTATTGATGATGTGCCATGGAAACCAGGAGGATTTTTTCAACAGACTGATCACACAGGGTGAAAGCTGGATCCATCACTATGATCCTGATACTAAAGGCCAGTTGATGCAATGGGAATATCATAACTCACTCCCTCCAAAGAAGGCACATGCCCTACTCTGTACAGACAAGATTATGCTCACAGTATTTTGGGACCAGCACGGAGTAGTATCGATGGATTTCCAAGCAAAGTGTACCATGATCACTGGGGCATACTATGCTTCACTGCTGCGGAAATTGTGGGAGGTCATCAGAACCAAGAGATGTGGCATGCTCACCAAAGTGCCCGCCTTCTTCAAGACAATGCACCAGTTCACAACTCACCTGTTGCCCAGATGTAAGCATGCTCCTGTGGCTTTGAAATTCTACCTCATCCCCCTTATTTACCCAACCTCTTTCCAACAACGAAGCTATTTTTGAAAGGCAAGCATTTTTCAGATAATGAGACTCTGATTTCTGATTTGGAGCAACCTGTCAACTTCTACAAGCAAGGTGTTTACAGTTGCTTAAAAAGATGGGAGAAGTGTGTGTTCCTAGGTGGCACCTATGTAGAGAAGGACTCATAACTGTGTCAAGTTTCATTGCTCTCAGTCCACAGGAAGTGGGTCAGGGGAAATTTTTAATGACCCCCCCCCCTTGTAACATGGCATATTTTGTCTGTGGCTTCCTGTTACTCAACATAGAGAACATGCAGTTTGAGTGACCTTTTCTTTTTTCTTCAGTAATGACAATGAACAAGCAATGTGTCACCTGTTTGTTATGACATTCTTTTAGACAGGTAAAATTGTAATTAGGACCTTTCCCCCACCATAATTTTTCTCTCTGTCTATTCCAATTCCTTCAGTGAATCTCTGTTGCTATTCCCTCACTCCTTCCAAATCCAAATTGCAGTAATCTTGCTTTCACCAAATCCAAAAGATTTATTGTTGTTTGCTGGGTGTCATTGGCTCTGGGACAAATAAAATTGAGCCCCACTGATTTGTGTCTATGACTGACATGAGTTAGATCAGAGTAACTTCTTATGAAAGCTAGGCAAAAGTGTGTGTGTATATGTGTGTGTGTGTGTGTGTGTGTGTGAGAGAGAGAGAGAGAGAAATGTTGTACTAATATCCTATTGTTGTTTTGAACGTGAGAGCCTAAACTCTTTTGGCATGCTGGAGATGGCATGTAATCTTCAGTATCTCTCATTAAGAAAATCCTAGATAACAGAGCTATGGAAGGGAGTTACCTGTGGGTTTGGTGAGTTCGTTGCAATGCCAGTGGGCTGTCTAAGTATAAAAAAAGACACCTTTGGTTATTCTGAGTTGCAGAGAGTACATCCCAGGAGAGAGTTCGTCCTTCCTGTTAGGAGGAAAATACACATTCAAAAACCTCTTTTCCCTCCCACTTCTTCAAAGATCCTTTGTCTGTATCTCCTGCTAAGTGGGCAGAAGAATACTTGGAGCAGTCAGAGGAGAAGTTGTGGCTGGGTGAATCAGACGATCAAACACAAGCTGATAAATGGTGAGTACTTAGTAGTTTCTTTCCATAGTTATCTGTGTGCGAGCTTGAATTTGACAAAATCTCATTCTAATCCCAAGTCGCACTTTCAAAATTGCATTTCCATCTCATTGGCTCATCCTTCTGAGCCTAAGAATTCAAATATACAAGGAATAGATATGCCATAAATGAGCCTGACTTCTAAGTTGCCTTATCACATCTGTAAAAGTATATCATTTACCAGCTGTTAGGAATTGTGGGAGCTGAAGTCCAAAACATCTGGAGGAGCACAGTTTGAGAACCACTGCTTTAGAACATTTGTTTCCTATTCCTAGATCCCGGATGATAAATATATTCTGTTGGTGGAGGTTGGCCGAACGAGAAACACATACAGACAAACCCTGCTAATTTATTGCTGGAGGTTAGCATTCACTGTGGGTTCTTGTATTCCGCAGTTTGTAATCCATGGCTTCAAAAATTGCAGTGACACCCTTTTGTACATTAGACTAGAGATTAGTTACTAAATACTATTCTGTCTGAAGATCCTTTCAAGTGTGGATTAATGATTTGTATTAAATAGACTGCCAGACAAATCCACAGCAGACAACCGTATCCCTGCAGATTGAGTGAAATGAACATAGCAAAGCACAAAGTTATTCTTTAAGGAATAACATCCCTTTCTGCTTGGATGCTACATACCTGTTCTCATTCAGAGGTGCTCCTTTGCTTGTGTGGATGTGTGTATTTTTATTCTTCCATGTCTCTTTATCATGGTAGTCTCCAAAGGCCTCTGTTTATGGGATTTTCTAATCAAAGTGCACTGTGAAATTTTTGGTATGGGTGACTGGGGCATGGTTGCTCCTTCTCTGGCTCAAAGCTTATGAAAATGGTTTCATGTTTGTTCTAAAACATGTTTGGTATTTGGTTTCTTCTCTATCATCAAAGTAAGCTGAGTTAGCTGAGTGTAATACTCTTTAGTAAATTTGGATAGTTTCTATCCTTTTAGTACATTGTAATGGGAATAGAGAAACATAGCAAGAGGCAGAGAGAATCAGCGTAGCAGATTGGTTTGAGTGTTGGACTAGGACTCTGTGGACCAGGCTTTGATTCTCCACTTTGCTTTGGAAGCCCAGAGATTGAGATTAGCAAGTCACATAGCAAGCTTCAGAGGAAGACAATGGCAAACCCTCTCTGAAAACATGTTTCCAAGAAAACCCTGTAATTGGTTTGGATGCATACGTCTGTGCTTTTGAGTTGCCTGTTGATATATGGCAACCCCATGAATCTCATAGAATTTTCATAGTCAAGGAATACGCAGATATGGTTTTGCCAGTTCCTTCTTCTGAAATACAGCCTACAGCACCTGATAATTGTTGGTGATCATCCATCCAAATACTGGACAGACCTGAATCAGCTTAGTTTCCAAGACTGGATGGGATCTGTTGGCTTTAGGTCAGTGGCTCCCAACCTTTTTTTGATCAGGGACCATTTTGACCAGGGACCACTCTCCAACATTAGTACCAGAAGGGTTACAAATCAGTTTTTGGTCAACTTTAGATTCAATTTGGTTATTTGGGGGTGCTGATTCAGAAAATGGCATTGGGTAGACCACATCTCTTCTAGTTTCGGATACAGAACATATGCCATCCAGTAGCTCGCCCACAGAAAACCATATTTTATAATCTAGAGCTGATGTGGTAGTAATAATCTTTCATGAGTAGTCAGCCTCTCTTCTCCCAGCATCCCCGTTGCCTTGGCACTATAAGAGGGTTTCGTGAAACCAGTTGCTCTCATTGCTGTGTGGCTTTGGGGCAATGGTGAGGCCGTGGACCATATTTTCATTCTTGCGGACCACTGCTGGTCCATGGAGCACAGGTTGGGAACCACTGTTAGGCATTTAGGCATACAAGATTCAGCTTAGAGTCACCATTTTTTAAAAATATATATATATAATCCGGCTCTCCAACAGTTTGAGGACTGTGACCTGGCCCTCTGTTTAAAAAGTTTGTGGACCCCTGGCTTAGATTCATAAAACCGAAGGGCAAAGCAGCTGTGAATTCAGATATGGAACACAGTGCGGATGGGTGTGAACCTTCTCCTTGCCTATTGTGATTCTGGTGCAGGTTTCTTTTGTCTTGGTACCATATACCATGCACTCTAAATAAAGAGGAACACTAAAAAAACAGGGAAATTCCAGACAGGAAATAATCAGGGCCAACTAACACCTCCCAACAAAGGATTTCCCCCAGGTATTAAACAGCCAGGCTTTAAAGCTGCAAGGCTATTCAGTGCTAATCAAGCTGGCCACTTGCAACATTCACACTTGCCTCAAACAGACGAGAGTTCTTTCTCCCACCCTGGACATTCCACAGATATATAAACTCCACAGAGCTCACAACCTCTGAGGATGCCTGCCCTAGTTGTGGGCGAAACGTCAGGAAAGAATGCTTCTGGAACATGGCCATACAACTCGGAAAACTCACAACAATCCAGTGATTCCGGTTGTTTAAGCCTTCGACAACACCTTGTAACTGATATAGTTTGAAACTGGGAGGAAGTGTTGAAGAAACCCAAGGGACAATACACCTTTGCCATCTGTTTTGGGACAGGCTCATCATATTTATGAGGTAGGCAGACACTTCCTTTAAGGAGCCGTAGGGAGGCACCTCAGCACTGAGAGTACAATGGATTCACTCATACACAAGATAGTCAGTTTTGGCAGCTTGGTAATGTTTTGCCCCAAAATCGAGTTAGATGTTTAATTTTCAGCCACTCCGCCAGCTTACTGCAGGCCACACGGTTTTAATAAATTGGAAAGGGAGGGTGTTGGGAGGAGCTGGTATCCAAACTGAACGTCATGGGCCAAAACAAAGGGCTTAGGGTGCACTTTGCCTCTGCCAGACTGTGGTGAGTTGACATGGAACATTCCAACTCTTGTCAAGCTGAGCACTTTCCCTAGTAATAAATCTAAGGAAGAAATTATAATCTCAAGTAGATAGTGTGATGTTTCAAGTCATTTAAAAGCAACAACAACATTGATTTAGATGGTTTTTGGACCTCTTTCTGATCATAGGTATGAGGAATACCAGCCTGAGGATGATCTCAAGAAAACTGCCAATGATTTTCTCTCCAAAGTGGATGATCCCAAACTAAATGATTCTGAGGTAAAAAGAAAAGCCCAGGTCCACTTGTTGAACTGATATGTGGAATGACAGTGTGTGTGGATGGAAGCAGGTGCCTCCTTGTATGTATTCATTTGTTTCAACTCCCCAGCCAAGTGGTGGTCGCTAATCAAGCCAGCAGGTTATTTTTGTCACTTTTTAAAACAAATATTAAATATCTTTCTCACAGAGAAAATGTGAGTTTTCAGGGGTGGGCTTTTTTTGTATTAACATTTGGACTTTTCACATGAAAGTTTGCCATTACTTGACGTTGCTTGCACCTTACTACAGGGAACAACAATATGATAAAATCACTGAGTGCAGAATGCAAAACCTGCCCTGAAAGATCTTCTTAATAATCTGCCTAACAGGTTGGGTTCATGTGATTTACTTGGTTTTATGGATGCTTAAACCCTTGTGCCAGCAAGACTGCTGACCGAAAGGTCGGTGGTTTGAATCCAGGGAGTAGGGTGAGCTCCCGCCTGTCAGCTCCACCTTCTCATGCAGCGACGTGAGAGAAGCTTTCCTCAGGATGGTAAAACATCCAGGCATTGCCTGGACAACATCCTTGCAGATGGCGAATTCTTTCACACCAGAAGCAACTTGCAGTTTCTCAAGTCGCTCCTGACCCAGAAAAAAAATTAGAAAAAATTATTAAGGTACAGTTTCTCATTTTTCCTAGAATTTAAGTGACTTACTGTGAGCCCATCTGTTGTAATGGTTGAGTTCTAAACATGGGCAAGTGAGACATGGTTTCAAATCCTGAACATACATGAGGCCCACTGGTTAGTCTTCTTTGTCCATTCTACGGGACATTTGTAGGTGTAATTACTGTATTTCTGCAATTCTAAGACTTTTTTTCCTATATAAACATCTCTAAAAAATGGAATCGTAGGTGTATCTTATGCATTTTTGTTGTTGTTTTTGGTATCGAAATTAGGGTGCACCTTACAATTGATGGTACCTTTCAATTAGGAGCCACAATGAGTTAAACCCTTGTGCTGACTGAACTGCTGACCTGAAGACTGAAGGTCGGCGGTTCAAATCTGTGAGATGGGTTAGTTCCCATCTGTCAGCTTCAACTCCCATGCGGGGACATGAGAGAAGCCTCCCACAGGATGGTAACACATCCAGGCAATGTCTCTGTAGACAGCCGATTCTCTCACACCAGAAGCGACTTGCAGCATATTCTCAATTCGTTTCTGACACAATAAAAAAACCCTTGTAATTGAAGGAATACAGTATAGCTCTCATGGACAATCCCACTAAGGTCTATGGATGGATTTCATACATTATTTTGTTTTTGCTGGCTTGGTACTTTTTCAACTTGCTACAGGCTATTACCTTCCAGCAGGGAATCCATAGTAGGTGTTTTTTTGTAAATGAAGGGCTTGCGGGGTGGGGGGTGGGGGGGTCTTGCTGGCAGTCACAGTTATTGGTGGTTGTTACCTCCTTAGAAAAGGTACTAATTTCCATAACAGTTCCCCCAATGCCTCTCCACACTAATATGTTGTAAGAGTGCAGTAATGTTGAAATTAGATTCCCCACAGGGTGAACTACCCCTATTGCTCATACAGCAGTATATGCTGGCAATAGGTTTTGAGGTCTGTGAGCTGGGCATTTGATTTTCCATCCTGACTATCTGCTTGACAGTTGCCTCCCAGGAAATGTGTTCTTGACCTTTGTTGTTGTTTCCTCAATTGGTTTGCTTCCCTGTGGAGCTGATCCTGTCTCTTTTTCCTGCAAGTCTTGCAAAGTCCAGTTTTCCACTTAGGCCCCTTCTACACTGCCATAAAATCCAGGATATCAAAGCAGATAATCCACATTATCTGCTTTGAACTGGATTATATGAATCTACACTACTTTATAATCCAATTCAAAGCAGATAACCTGGACTTTATATGGCAGTGTAGAAGGGGCCTTAGTCCAGGTAGAAAGAGTTTGTGAAAGGGAAAGGGCTGAACAGTGACACTCTTTGCCTGTGTCTCCTTTCTTCATGCAGTTCCTAAAGTTTGTCCGCCAGATTGGAGATGGGAGGGTGTCCATCGAGGAAAATCGGGTGACCATAACCCCCAGAGGCCAGGATCAGGCAGAGCAATGGGCAGCTGAGTTTATACAGCAGCAGGTAGGACTCAGGGGGCTTGCAGCTTGCTCTGTCAACAACCCTTCTGGTGTAGAACTACAAATCAGAAATCTGGACTTGTGCAAAGCAATATGCAGCTTAGGAGCAGAAAAGGGCCTTTTCCAGCCAGTTCTGTCTTAGTGAGCTCAGCATTGTACTCTTAGAAGTAAGTTGTATGGCATATCTGTCCTTGGCAGGTGGGAATCTCTTCCTACTGTGCTCTCTTCCTAGAATACATCAGAAGCCTGGGTGGATCAACTCACGCACTCTGCGGACGCGTTGAACTTGGATCCTGAATTTGAGCAAGCGAAAACAGCTGTGGAGGTAATCTATTACTATTAAAAACCAGGGGCAAAGCCTCCTGCTCCTCCCCAAGACTATATCTACCTAAGGAACCTTGAAGAAGGGCTTCTTTAGCTTTCTCTCTTTTCCTTCTCTAGTCTGATGTGGATTTCTGGGATAAGCTACAGGCTGAGTGGGAGGAGATGGCCAAGCGAGACGCAGAAGCCCATCCTTGGCTCACAGACTATGAAGATCTCGCCAGCTCCACTTACGACAAGGTATTGGTTCAGAGAAACCAGTACCCAGAGCTGTTACTTCCCTGCTGTCTTCTTAATGCTGTGACCCCTTAATACAGTTCCTCAGGTTGTGGTGATCTCCAACCAGTTGCTACTTCATAACTGTAATTTTGCTACTGTTATGAATTGTAATGTAAATGTCTGATATGCAGGATGTATTTTCATTCACTGGACCAAACTTTGCACAAATACTCAATATACCCAAATGTGAACAGTGGTGGGGTAGGGGAGTGGAATTGATTTTATCATTTAGGAGTTGTAGTTGCTGGGATTTATAGTTCACTGACAATCAAAGAGTATTCCAAACTCCACCAACAATTGAATTGAACTAAACTTGGCATACAGAACTCCCATGACCAACAGAAAATACTGGAAGGGTTTGGTGGGCTTAAACCTTGAGTTTTGGAGTTGTAGTTCACCTACATACATAGAGCACAGTGGACTCAAGCAATGATGGATCTGGACGAAATTTGGCATGAATACTCAATCTGCCCAAATGTGAACACTGGTAGATCTTGGCATTTGGGATTTGCAGTTGCTAGGATTTTTAGTTCACCTACAATCAAAGATCCCCTTGAACCCCACTAACAACAGAATTAGACCAAATCTTTGACCCATGATTTTGAGAGTTGTAGTTCACCCACATCCTTATGCATTTTCTAATGGGAGCATTCATAAAAAAGGGAAATACTGACTTTTTTCCCTAATAAATAGGGTTATAAATTATCTAAGCTGTTTCTGCTCCTCCTCCCCCTGATGCTGCTGGGCCACTCTCAGTCCCACATTGCGCAGGCGCTTTTCCCTCTGCCTTGATGGGACTTGCTGGTGTGAGCCTCCCTCCAGCCTCTTGTGCTCTCCTTCGCCCATGCTGCCACGCGCCAAACATGCCTTCTCTCCCCTGCCTGCTTGGAGTCTTGAAAACAGCCTTCCCCTTAGCTGAGAGGCCGACCAATCACAGCAGGAGGAGGGTTTTTGGTGGGAGGATTCACCATTTGTTTCCAAAAAGGAAGAGAAGGACAACCGGAGAGATCTTCAGGCTTCTCTGCCAAAGGGTTCCTAAAACCATCAGAAATACGTGTTTCCTCGTGGTCTTTGGTGACCCCTCAGAAAACTCCCCTTGTGACCCCCCCCCCCAGGGGTCCTGATCCACAGGTTGAGAAATGCAGGCATAAGGGATGGAGGGGAGATGGGAATCTGTGTAAGCTCCCAAACAGTGTTTTTTCTTCCCATGGAGCTGAAGGTTAGGTACTCTTTCCTTTGGCTCTGATTATGAATCAAGTACAAATTGCTTTGCTCTCCCCCCTTCTCAGGGATATCACTTTGAGGAAGAAAACCCTGTAAAGGACCATCCGCGTGCTTTTGAGGAAGGGCTGAAATGTCTGGAAGAAGGTGACCTTCCTAATGCTGTCTTATACTTTGAGGCTGCTGTGCAGCAGAATCCCAATCATATGGAGGTGAGTAGGCGAGACGGAGCTGTGCTGTGTTTTTGCTTCTGCTCAGCTGAATTGGGCAGAAGAGAGGGTGCACAATTGTGGGTGGGTGATGGGGAAGTCTTTAGTAGTTACTCTTCAGTAGAAGACTGGCTACAGCAGTTTGGATTCCTGAAGTACCATCCTGTTCTAACCCAGTAGTTCCCAATCTTTTTTTTGCCCAGGGACTACTTTCCAACATGAGTACCAAAAGGGTTACGAATCAAGTTTTTGGTCAACTCTAGATTCAGTTTGGTTATTTGGGGTGCTGATTCAGAAAATGGCATTGGATAGACTACATCAGCTCTAGTTTCCAATACAGAATGTATGCCATCTAGTAATCACTATCTGTTCGCCCACAGAAAACCATACTTAATAAGCCTCGGCACTATAAGAGGGTTTCGCGAAATCAGTCACTCTGATTGCAATGGTGTAGTAACAGTGAGGTTGCAGACCATATTTTAGTTCTTGCAGACCACTGGTGTTCCACGGACCACATGTTGGGAACCAGTGCTCTAACCAAACAACCAGTTTCATTATGAGGAGGCAGCTTATAAAGTGGATTCCCCAAAAGAGCCACTTTATATCAAAAAGAAATCTTGCATAATGCATTTTCTGGCCTGCACTGTGTCTTTTGCACATCTTGTGTAAACTGCACAAGAAGTTTTGAAGGGATATGTCATTTGTGGGGACAGGGAGATGGCTTCTCGTACTTTACTCCTGGGCTGCAACCTTGAATACAGAAGTAATTGGTGGTGTTGATGGTGTTCCAAATGTGTCCTAGCTATAGGATGGAGACATTTACACTCTACACTCCCATTGAAAATGAGTTTGACATCCACGCACTAGAAGGACAACTTATCTACATACATATACCTTAATATCTAGTTGCCTCAAATGTCTCAGATGGTGGAGGTAGAGGTGGCACTATAACATTAGAGGAGTCAGTATGGGGTGCAATCATTGAGGCAAAACAAGATCTTGGAAAAGAAAATGTATCCATAGTTTGATGAAACAGCCAAATGGTGCTCTTTACTAGCACTTTGGTTTATTTATTACTTATTTATATATAGTATTTATATTTTGTCCTTCTCACCCCGCAGGGGACTCAGGGTAGATTACAATGTACATATACATGGCAAACATTCAGTGCCATAGACACACAACATATATAGACAGACACACAAAGGCTATTTAACATTCCAGCATTTTCATGAGGGTATTCTGGCCACCAGGGGAGTTGTCGCTTCACTGTCCATTTGTGACATGGATGAAGTACTTCCTCATTCTTTTGCATGCTTGCTGGAGATTTTTATGGCATTGTAAATAGCCTCCCCGCATAAGCGGTACCTAAATTTCCTACTTGATAGATGCAAATGTCTTTCGGGCTGCAAAGGTCGACAGCAAGCTACACAAATTGGTTGTAAGCTCACTCCAATCTGGGCTAGCTTTGAAGTCATGACCTTTTGGTCAGTAATGATTTTAATGCATCTGACTCCCAGCCAGCTGCGGCACAGTCCCGGTGCTATGCTGTATGGTTTGATGTGGATTATTTGGCAGTGCATAGAGGCATTCCTTCTCTCTCCCTGTGCCTATGGTAGCTGAATAGATGGAGTTGTTTTGCAGGGCACAAAATGGTCTTTAAAAATTAGCCCCCTGTTCAGTGCAGATTAGTGCAGTATGAAGAACTCTTATGACTCCTCCTCTCTATATTAGGCCTGGCAGTACCTGGGCACCACACAAGCGGAGAATGAACAGGAGCTTGCAGCAATCAGTGCCCTCAGACGGTGAGTTGCCAGCCTGGCACAATAACCCCTTTGGTCTTCAGCCTATTTAAGGATGTGGAAGAACAATGTCTCCATATTTATTTCCCAACTTCATTATTTACATAGAGGCACAATTTGATTCCATACATTACATACAATCCAGGCAATACTAAGGGCCACTGTATTTTACTTAAGGGAACTGATTTTTTGTGTACCTGGAACTTAGGCATGAACTAATTATTGCTGTGGTACAATTGGTCCTCCATATCTATGGATGTAACTATCCAATATATTTTAAAAAACTGTTTGTATACTTATTTTGCCCTGGTAGCGCTGAACTGCTTAACTTACTGACTGAAAGGTTGGCAGTTCGAATTTGAGGAGTGAAGTGAGCTCCCGTTGTTAGCCCCAGCTTCTGCCAACCCAACAGTTTGGAAACATGCACATTTATTTTCTGACATCTATGCAATGTTATTCCATCTGGGTGCTTTCCTTGTGAATTTCTAATAGCAGCCATAATTTTTTACTACTACTTCATGAAGTTATTTTCCTGCATCAATACATGATGAAATAAATGTCACATGTCTATAAAAACAAACAAACATGCAAATGTGAGTAGATCAATAGGTACCACTTCTGCAGGAAGGTAACGGCACTTCATGCAGCCATGCTTGCCACATGACCTTGGAGGTGTCTACGGATAATGCTGGCTCTTTGGTTTAGAAATGGAGATGAGCACCACCCCCCAGAGTTGGACTTGACTAGACTTCATGTCAGGGGAAGCCTTTACCTTTACCTTATTTTATGTACCTGGGATCACATAAAAAATTATTGGGTAAAAAAAAGTTGAAAAAGTTTAAGAAGCTCTGCGTCACAGCACAATGTACTTGATAACTCTGGGAAAAGCTATATGTCAGAGATCTAATGGCAGAACATAGAGCCTTTAAGTGGAGTCCTTTTCAGCTGGCATATTTTGCTGTTTCAGCTGGGAAGGGGCTGGTCCCTCCCTGCCAGAAGGGTGACTGGAGGGTATACTGCCCATAACTTTGGATGTGGGTGCTTGTGCCTCCCTTCTGCAGGTGTCTGGAGCTGCAACCTGGAAACCTCACTGCACTCATGGCGCTGGCAGTCAGTTTCACCAATGAATCACTGCAGAAGCAAGCGTGTGAAACCCTGCGGGACTGGTTGCGCCACAAACCGGACTATGCTCACTTGGTGGCGAAGGAGCCTGAAGAGGGCAGTCCTGGCCCAGATCTTGGGCCCTCCAAGCGCGTCTTGGGCTCGCTTTTAACTGAGTGAGTTTAGGAAGGAATGGACTGGAACTGGGAATTCATGGGCAGGGGAGTGGGGAGACCAACATGCTTGAAGATGAATTAGTGCTTTCATTAGTATGGGACATCTCTTTTTCAATCGGTTGAGTCTCAGATTTGGATGCACAAATTAAATTTCAAGTTAAAGATACCTAAAGGTCTGGCCCCACTGATCCTTAGTGATTCATTTCACTCAAGGTGGAAAAAGCTAGTAGATAAGAAAGTCGTAAACCTTGGCTATCTGCAAAATACCATCCTAACTTTTGGCTATACAAAAGCCAAAGAAAATATATGGCATCATATCTGAGATATTGAGCTACATCAATGCAGCATCTATTTTTCAAAGACAATGGGAGGGATCTTCTTCCAGCAGAGTCCCTAAATAATTATCTTAAAATACAGGAAAGGTAACTTTGGCTAAATTCAATGTGTTCTGTTCTGCAGTACTGGAGAGAATATATAACAGCATACCATAGTGCAAACGCCTGTGAGGCTGAGGCGCTTGAAACAATGGGACACATTTTATTATACTTCTATTGAGGCCTTTGGCAACATTTTATTATACCTATTTTACAAAGTATACCAGGGAGACCTGGAAGTTTTTATATTATCTCTTGGCTGACCAGTCTTCTGAAATTACAGCCAATATTGCTAGTTTTTGTGCAGCAGCAATAGCTGGCTGGCACAGGTTGCTGTTACAGTTTTAAAAGGTTCTATTCTATCTCAGCTTTTAATATAAATATTTGTATATTTAAAAAGATACAAATATTTATAAATACATATAAATATATAAATATACAATTATAAATATTTATACATATACAAGTCTACATGTTTATATTTAAAATATATAAAACTACATATTTTTATTTTAAAATACAAATATTTAATATTGTTTTAACTTAGCTTTTTAAAATGGCATTTAATGCATAAACTTACGTTTTACTTACTTATTACTGTCTGTTTTAATGCAGGTCATTGACTGAAATAATCTAACTATTTATCTATATGCATGTGTGTGTGCTCTTTTTCACCAACCCAGCTCACTCTTTGCGGAAGTAAAAGAGCTGTTTTTGGCAGCTGTGCAAAGCAACACCTCTGCTGTGGATCCTGACGTGCAGTGCGGTTTGGGTGTCCTCTTCAACCTGAGTGGGGAGTATGAGAAGGCTGTGGACTGTTTCACTGCTGCGTTGAGTGCCCGCCCAAATGTAAGGAAGACATGGGAAAGGGGAAAGATGGTGGCGGGCTGCCAGTGATGATCTTCTCATAGGGTTTCTGGGTGGAGGAATCTCTTCCCAAACCCAGAATGAGCCCTTAATATTTTTATTTTATCATCTGATAACAGTGGTGGGAACTTCATATCTATTTATATGTTGCTCCCAGAATCTTTGCAATTGGCTATTTGTATTTTGTTTCAAGAGGACTAGATGTATGTTGTATGTTATGTCTGCATTGTCTGTTTTTGATAAGGCTAACTGGCTAATCAATAAAAATTGTTGTTGTTGTTGCAATTGGCTATACAGAGGGCCCTTAGTATCCTCTGGGATTGGAATTCAGGAGCACCCAAGGAGATCAAAATCCATGGATGTGCAAATTCCATGAACTAAAATGGTGTAATGAAATGATATCCCTTACATGAAATGACAAACGATTCAAAACAAGTGCCGGAGAGAGCCTGGGGATCTGTAAAATGACAAGAGGCTACAGCAGATATGGGAAATTGCTTCTGTTTGATGTTTTGTTTCATGTCTGATATAATCTGCTTTTTTCACTAATTTCAGTATTGCCGCCACCAACAAAAATACATAAAATACATCTGCGATTCTAAGACGGACCCCATTTTTAGATATGTTTATATAGGGGAAGAAGTGTGTCTTCGCGTTGAGGAAATACAGTATTTACAGTATTTACATAGCATTACTTGAGAATTGTCAGTTCCTCTGTAGTACCCAAGTTATTATTATTATTTTTTGCAATAACCCTGCAAGATAGGTCAGGACATTCACATATATTACCAACCAAGAACTTGAAGTTCTATGTTTTGGCCACATCTAGTGAGCACTTGACAGAATCAAGAGATGAAACTAGTATTTCCAGTTGATAGATCATAGCTTTCACCACTATTGTACCAATACTTAGGCTCCATATAAAATCAATTGGAAATGGAAAGATTTGGTGGAGAATGGATGGAGGAGTAAGGGGGATGGCATGTCTTTACACTTTGGGAGACTTGAAAATAAATATTATGTCTCTGGCATGCCAGTGAAGTCCCATTATCCCACACAAACTGACTAGTTCATTCCTTCAGGATCATCTCCTATGGAACAAGCTAGGAGCCACCTTGGCCAACGGAAACCGGAGTGAAGAGGCTGTGGCAGCTTACAGGCAGGCACTGGAGCTGCAGCCAGGCTACATCCGCTCTCGCTACAACCTCGGCATTAGCTGTATCAACTTAGGAGCCCACAGGTGAGTTGGGATGAGGCAAAGAGAGTGGGAGTTGTTGGGGAGCAAAGAGGGAAAGGCAAAGGAAATCTTCTGTCTCCAGTTCAGTTGACCAAGTGTGAGATCCAATTCCTAAACTTTTTTCTGATTTTATGACAGTACAGTGAGTTGGCTTTATAGTCTGAATTCAGTCCCTTCATCTTGATAAAGAGTTTGGTGAAGGAACCTAGTTCCACGCTTAGCTTTTCTCATTTTCTAATTGGGTTTCATCCATCTTAAATTAGTGACACTTCCATGCAGGTGAGCTAAAATCTGTTGGCCATAATTGACTCCCTTCCCTAACTATGGTTTGTAAAGTTAAATGATGTCTTTGTCCAGTCTCCTTTTTAGAACAGTGTCATCTTGTAAACTTCTTACACCCTTCCTGCCTGATATTTGTGATGTGTTGTCTCTGTGCACTCTTATACTTAGAACACAGATATCTTAAAACTGAGATACAAGAAATAGTATGTTATTGTTATATTTGAAACATCAAATGTGTTATGCGACAGGTTTTTTATTTATGTACACAACATAAAGGTACAAATCTTATCTCTATGGTAAATAAATGTCAGTATTCACATAAATATCAAATAAATTTCAAATGGGAGACATCAATCTCCTCTTAATAAACACAGTAGTGCAATATTTTGACAGAATATGTCTAATGATTTGAAACATTTGATGTTTCAAATATATAACATAACATACTATTTCTTGTAGCTGTGCGCTCTTAGGCATTGATACTGCTGCATGCTGGGTCAGGTCCTTGGTCCATCTGGCCCAGTATTTTTCAGTCCTCCCTTGCAGCAGTGGTTCCCCAGAGTTTCAGAGCAGCTCTTCTAGCCATGTTCTTCCTGACAGTCTATGTCAGGCATGGGCAAACTTCAGCCCTCCTATCAGTTGTTAGGAATTGTGGGAGTTGAAGTCCAAAACACCTGAAAGGCCAAAGTTTACCTGTACATGGTCTGTGCCAGGGGTCTTCAAACTTTTTAAACAGAGGGCCAGGTCACAGTCCCTCAAACTGTTGGAGGGCCAGATTATAATTTGAAAAAAACATGAATGAATTCCTATGTGCACTGCACATATCTTATTTGTAGTGCAAAAACACTTTAAAACAATACAATAATTAAAATGAAAAACAATTTAACAAATATAAACTTATTAGTATTTCAGTGGGAAGTGTGGGCCTGCTTTTGGCTGATGAGATGGGATTGTTGTTGTGTGCTTTCAAGTCATTTCAGACTCTAAGGTTGACCCTGAGCGAGGGCCAGGTAAATGACCTTGGGGGGCCGTATTTGGCCCCCGGGCCTTAATTTGAAGACCCCTGGTCTATGCCATCCAAAGATAGACCAATCCCAACCTGTTTCTAAAATGGGCAAGCACTGGTGTATTCGTCTGTCTGTTACTGTTTTCTGTGTCTCTGGGCCTATCACCTTGTGCTCCTGTCTTGACAGAGAAGCGGTGGAGCACTTCCTGGAAGCTTTGCACATGCAGCAAAAGAGTCGGGGCCCACGAGGCCAGCAGGGGGCGATGTCAGACAACATCTGGAGCACTCTGCGAATGGCGCTTTCCATGCTGGGCCAGAGTGACCTCTATGGGGCAGCTGATGCCCGGGACCTTCCTACCCTTCTACAGGCGTTTGGTATCCAGCAGTGACTCCTAGATGGGCTCCCCTGTGAGTGCAGGATGGGCCCTCCTCAGCAAGACAGACCTCCTTCCCTCTACCACCTAAACACACACACACCCTAGTGAGGGAGCCTCATTTTTAACACACACACACACACATATCCCAATAGCCCAGGGAACTTTGATGTTCATTCATTTCTGTTTTCCTTATCACTCTGGGGTAGACCTCGCTTACATTTTGTGTGGACTCTAAGCAGTGTAGAATTGCCTTCTTGTAGCCTCTCTCACACCCAGTAGGAACAGTCAGCTGACTCTGCACCTCCTTAGTCTGCTAGGTTCACTGCAAAGGGATACAGATACTGTGGGAAACTGCTTACTTTTTCTGCTCACTGGGTGCACCTTTCAAATGGCAAGCTGTTCCTATTGCCTTGTGCCTGTGAGAGTAGACACATAAACATTCCTGGGAGCCAAAAAGGGAAATGAGTGTGTGCGAACTGATAAATAATAACTTTCTGGGCATGAGCTATACATAGTATTCTATTCTAAGATTCTGGGCATGTATTTGCCTTCAGTGGTGCTGCTAATATTAAAGGTACAACACAGATGAACTGAAAACATATCTTTGTGCAGGAGCACAACATCAACATGACACTGGTTGTTTCTCCCCACCATTTCCCCCAGATGTTGGAAGGAGCAGCTCTCCAGCTGTGTAGTCAAGGAAAAATGCCTCCATTCCATGGGAATGAAAATGGGGCCTAGTTAATGCTCCTCAAATGTGCAGGGCAGGACCGATGTCTTAATTCTCCTTCTGTCATATGTTTCTTGTAAAGTAAAATGAGACTAGTTACCTTTGTGCATACAATTACCCCTCTTTTGTGTAATTGGCTCTTTAAATATATGTATATGATTTTTGTTGAGGAAATGTTTTTAAATTGTAAAAAATATTTTGTATAATAGATGGTATAATAATTAAACTTGCCAAATTAACCTGACTGCTGTCTCACTGAATGTGTGAAGATTTTCCATCATTACAGCATTGATATCTTCCCTGCATACAGCTGCAAATATGGGAAAAAAGGACATTTCCTTCTCTCACATATTTTTCTTGCTATTAAGTCCCAACTTTGGTTGCAAAACAGTTAAGCACTTTTAGTAAAGGTTTTCCCTGACATTAAGTCTAGTCATGTCCAACTCGGGGTTGGTGCTCATCTCAATATCTAAGCCGAAGAGCTGGCGTTGTCCGTAGGCACCTCCAAGGTCATGTGGCTGGCATGACTATAGAGCGCTGTTCCCTTCCAGCAGAAGCAGGACCTTTTGGTCAACAAGTTCAGCAGCTTAGTGCAGGGGTCCTCAAACTTTTTAAACAGAGGGCCAGGTCACAGACTCTCACACTGGAGGGCCGAATTATAATTTGAAAAAAAAATGAATTCCTATGCACACTGCACATATCTTATTTGTAGTGCAAAAAACACTTTAAAACAATACAATAATTAAAATGAACAATTTTAACAAATATAATCTTATTAGTATTTCAGTGAGAAGTGTAGGCCTGCTTTTGGCTGACGAGATAGGATTGTTGTTGTGTGCTTTCACTTTTTATAACTACTGGGTAAGACTGATATTTGAAAGACGTGTGAACAAAAACCACAGAAAAGCAGATAAGACGGAAACAATTTTACTTTTATCTCCAAAAAGGCATATTTTATCAAGCTGAAAACACTATAGCAACAAAGTACAGAAGGCAACTGTAATGATGCATTAAAGCAAGATGCACAGGGAGATATAAGCAACATAATTGTTGGGAAATCTGTGAAGAGCAGAGTTAACAGACCCTTTAAAGGAACTTTAGTGAATTCAACACTTTTTTTTTTTTGCGTTGGTCTCCCAAAAGGTAAACAGTACTCAATCTGGGAATATGGAATAGATGATGTGGTACAAGAAATGCAGCACAGAAAATGTAAAGAAATAGTTCAAGAATACTCTAAATGAGTCCTGCACAACTTGGTAGTAGTAAGGGGCCGTAATTAAATAGACTAAGCCTCTCTGGGCTTCATAGGTTTTTAGCACCTCACTCTGAATTTGTGAGAGGGTACTTTTCCCTTAGAACAGTGGTTCTCAACCTGTGGGTCCCCAGATGTTTTGGCCTTCAACTCCCAAAAATCCTAACAGCTGGTAAACTGGCTGGGAGTTGTAGGCCAAAACACCTGTGGACCCTCAGGTTGAGAACCACTGCCTTAGAGCAAGCAGCAAAGCAGATGAGCCTCAATTTCTTTGCCTTCTTTAGGATGGTAGTGAGTTGCCGTCCTTTTCTGAAGGAAAGAAGAAGTTCCTCAGCTCTTGCTTCCATTGTTCCTCTTTTCTCTTTGCTTTGCATCTTTTGTCGTCTACTTCTCTGGGGGGGGGGGTCAATTCTGCACCATTCATTTCCCTCGTTTGTGAGGGAAAAACCTAGATCCACTCTGAAGATCCCACAACAACAAATGAGAGAAATGAATACCAGTTCAAAGCAGATAATCTGGATTATATATGGCAATGTAGAAGGAGCCAACGTTTAGTAAAATCAGTAGTCTCTCCCAACTCGAAACTTTTACGGAATGCTCTATTTTCTCTCAAAGCTGGTAGACCCAACATTTGCACCCAGGATGATAGGTGAAACAATGAAGCCCATGTGTAAAGAAAATCCCAGAGCTGCTGACAGACTCGCGTTTTTAATCTTTTACTTCTGACCCAGTGCTTTTAAAAAAAGAAAGGACTGAGATGGCTGCTGCCCTACCAAAATGCCACTTATTTCAAAGTAAAATCCAAGAGGAAAATACAGTGTTCCCTCACTTATCACGGATGTTATGTTCCAGGACCACCCGCGAAAAGTGAAAATCCACAATCAAGCCTGGTTTGGGCCTCAAAAGATCTATTTAGAGTGGAAAAGGGCAAATCTCTCTTGCTATAGGAACTGGATGTCCATCTTGTACTATTACAAGCACCCTTGAGCTGGGTGTGAAGCAAAGACTAATGGCACTGGGCTTCTAAAAGACATAAACATCACTCCACTTGGTTCATAGTGCCATTACCAATGCTTCACTCAAGGGCACAAAATAGTCACACTGAAGGGTGCATGGAACAGGAAATGTTAGCCTTGCTTCCTAATTTAAACACTCTGCCTGAATCTGCAAGGTTTACACAATCAAAGCAATAACTGATTAATATGTCAAAGTAAATCAACATTTCCTTCTGGCAACCTAGCAGTTTGAAAACATGCACATGTGAGTAGTTCAATATGTACCGCTTTGGCGGAAAGGTAATGGCGTTCCATGCAGTCATGCCAGCCACATGACCTTGGAGGCATCTACGGACAACATCAGCTCTTTAGCTTAGAAATGGAGATGAGCACCTCCCCCAGAGTTGAACTCAGGTAAAGGTAAAGGTTTTCCCCTGACAAAGTCCATTCATGTCTGACTCTGCGGGTTGGTGCTCATCTCCATAGAACTGGCATTGTCCGTAGATTCCTCCAAGGTCATGTGGCCAGCATGACTGCATGGAGCACCGTAATCTTCCTGCTGGAGCGGTGCGTGTTGAGCTACTCACATTTGCATGTTTTCGAACTGCTAGGTTGGCAAAAGCTGGGGTTAACAGCAGAAGCTCATGCCGCTCCCCGAATTCGAACCTGCAACCTTATGGTCAACAAGTTTAGCAGCTCAGTGGTTTAACCCACTACACTACCGGGGCTCCATGAATTGGACTCAACTAGACTTAATGTCAAGGGGAAACCTATACCTTTACTAGAAGTCAACATTTATATCATTGTGGCACTCTTTTTCTTAGGAAAAGACCAAAAATAAGTCACAGAGAAGAGCTGACATGGGTTGACCGAAATGGGACATGATATATAACATAATCCTAATTCACACCACATGATGTTAAAAGTAGTCCAAAGTTTACAAGCTTATGGTAGGATTTAGCAACTGGAATCTAGTGTAAATACATCAATATGACAAATTTTAGCTTTGCCTCATCAGCATCACCTTTATTACTACATTACTAGAGGAAGGTGAGCCTACAAATGGCACCACACATTTGGTCTGGGGAAAAAAGGGAAGAGAGCTGCCCAATGCAGCAATGACAACGGGAGATAACATGTTATGGCTGAGTATGTTGCTATATAATAAGAAAGGTCTGCTCAATGCTCAGTACTAAGAAGAGAGTGTTTGATTCCTGCAAAGTGAGAATTCTAGATTGGCCATGGTTTGGGTTTTCAACAACATCAGTGACTGTACACAAATACAAAGAACCTCAGAAATGTTAACAGTCTGAGGATACCAAAAGCTAAGTACATACTTCTTTCCAGTATATGCATAAAACTATACACAGTCAGGAACCTCATAGGACCAAACTAATAGTATAATGAAATCCTTACCACTTAGGCGAAATATTAGTACAAGAAGTAAATATAGGGATTCTAGGCTTAATGCCATGATTCTTTTAACCTCAATATGAGGAGTAAGCTCTGTGTTCTCTAAGCCCACAGCAAATATCTGATAAGCAGGAGGATCCCCTGTTTTAGATTTTCAAACAGATCAGAAAAGAATATACACCTCTGACAACACCGTCAATATATAAAACATAGTTTAGCATTACTTGCTTCAATAGGTTGCCAGTCTGGTGCTCACACTTTCCCAATGCATGGAAACTTGAAGCAATTAGTTAAATTTCCTCTGCCCCACATAGAAATGAAAACCTCTGTGCATCCGTCTCTCCTCCTTGGTAAAAGCAAGATTGATTCAAATGATTTCCCTAGAAGGAATTTGAGAAATGTCTCTCTTATTCCATTTCCTTGAAAGCTAAACTAGGTGTGATGGATGGGTTCCTAACATCCTCATCTTTGCTGAAATGCAATTGCTAAGGTATAGGCCAGTGGTTCTCAGCCTGTGGGTCCCCAGATGTTTTGGCCTTCAACTCCCAGAAATCCTAACAGCTGGTAAACTGGCTGGGATTTCTGCGAGTTGTAGGCCAAAACACCCTGGATCCACAGGTTGAGAACCACTGGTATAGGCCATGGGCCTGGTAGGTTTAATATTCTCTTCCCATTGAATTTTTACTGTGAAAATTCTTCCCAAAATTTCAATTAATCGTGAAAACGCTAAATGACTGGTACATGTATTATGCTTTTCTTTCTTTCCCTCCCTAGAAGTGTTGAGAATTGGGGACAGCATTTTATCCACAGCCTGTGTTCCTGAGCCAAACCCCCAATCCCTAGAGCTGCTTTTAACCAAAGGAATAACTACTGGGAACAATGGTTATGGTCCTTAGACCTGGGGTCTAGTGGCTTAAATGCAGCTGCATGCCTAAAACAAAATCATGGTTTAGAATACCATGAAGATTCCCATGTGGGGACATGGGTGAAGCTTCCCACAGGATGGTAACACATCCGGGCATTCCCTGGTCAACCTCCTTGCAGACAGCTAATTCTCTGACACCAGAAACAACTTGCAGTATACTCCCAAACCGCTTCTGACATGATAAAAAGCCATGAAGTTATATTTGAGCTACAAGTAAAGGCAAAGGATGACTTCAGGCTTGTTGAATAAACATTGTGTTTTACTAGAACCTGAAGATCCACCAGCTAGAGCCATCAACACGGTACAAACTTAAGTGCCCACATGAAGGCATGAGCACAGGCCTACTGAACAGCTGCTGAATGAAACTGAGGATTTTTTAGGCACAGCCAAGGTGAGGTCAGTATATCTGCAAAGAAAAATCCACTTTTGGATTACCCAAGCTTCTTTCATTTCAACAATAATTATATTGTTGGTGTTAAAGGAATTGGGAGAAACGTATTGCAAGCTATCTAGAGATCTACAAATATGTCCTAAATTACCTTTTGCCCTGTACAAAGAGATGGATAGTAAGTGTCGAAATACTGAAGCACTCCATCAATATGTTTGTAAAAAATAGGGGAATGTCCAAGTATCAGCCCTTTGGTCTGAACAGTTACGAGCCCTGTCCAACTATACTAACTCCTGAGCAGATCTGCAAAGCAAGCAGAGAGACAGTCCTTGCTGGACTCAAATCATGAGAGCAGACAGATGTAGACCATTGAGTCTTCCTTTGTAGCTCAATGAACGTTCAACAAATAGTGGGGGTTATTTCAGAACCTTGTGCTTTCTTTCCTCTTATACTTTTCAGGACCTTGCGCTTTCATTCCTCTTATACTTTTCAGTACTTTTCAGGACCTTGCGCTTTTGTCTTTCTGATCCTTAAACACTTTTTCATTGAGCTAATGTCAGAAAATGTTTTGGAATAGCTGCAGTGCTTCATGTATGTACAGTAAGTAAACTGCAGGTTAGAAAAGGCCTTCAAATTTTGTTCCTGTCTTGGTGAGCTGTGAGGCCCCTTAAATATGACAGGTCAGGACCTGTCTACATGTGGCATTGTGTGACTGCTGGAGAGAAGTTAGTACAGCATAGTGCAGTGTAAACTGTAAGACAAGAAGCTGCAGCCAGCTGACTGAAACTACAAAGCCACTCTATCAAGGAGACAATCAACTGATGTCTCAATGAATGGATACATCTTATCAAATGGTCTATACTTTCTGCAGAACTGCAAAGTTATTCCTTTCAACCTATGAAGTGAGCCAGCCAGCAGAACCAAATGATATAAATCCCCAGGAAAACGGTGTTTCTGTATAATACAGGAATGTCTCTCAAGATTGTCATACATCACAAGCCCTTAGCATCCTTTTTTCACATAGTCAACAGGTTCAGGCCACTGGCTGAACTTCATTTAAGGCACTTCCACAGAGAGTGGAGTAAGGGTGACTTTTCTAAGTCAAGGTGCATGCCCTGTTTTGTGTATAGTAGTATGTTTCTCCTCGTTGTAATATGGCTATGGGGAACAAAGAGGAATTATTTATAAAAGCAATACTATACATTATTGTAAAAAGCAGACCATGTTACTAGAACTGCCCAGACACATTTGCTAACCAGTATGTTCATGACCCAGATCACTATAATAACTCCTTGATGACAAAATTCTGCTCAAGCCCAGCTGACGAGCTTTTTTAGTTGTTTCTTTGTCTCTTCCACAACCACCACAGATTTCCACTACAACAATCACTTATTGAAACGCTTCCTCCAGTGTTCTGTAGGAGGTGAGTTTACCCTGCGAATGTTAACACCACCAAGTGGCTCACTGCGCCACAGAGGAGTATCCAGAAAGAAAACGTAGGGGTGATTGGTTCTTCCTTCTTTATGAATGGACAGCATTCTCTGTGATGGAATCGCTGCCTACACAATCCCGCAAGTATGAAGGTGACAACGGAGGTTGCCCTTCTTCTAAGCTTTGTCCTTCTTGCTTGGTTTCTCCCTTTACTGGTTCCTGGATGTTGGAGTCATGACTTGAAGCTGTCTGGAAATTGGGCTCGCTGCCTACTGGTTCACTTGACTGCAGAGGAAGCAAGGCCTTATGCCGCATAAGGCTGTCATCGCTATTTTGGGCTTCCAAGGAGTTCCTATGCTTTGCATTTTTGTTGGCGACTGCATTTTTCTGGTGCTCTTCGAAGCTCAGTGACAAAGTGACAGTTCCACCACCAAAGCTCACTTTTTGCTTGCACCCGCGTTGCTGTTGCTCTATCACAGTTGTGGATAGACAAAAAGGGTCTTCGTGGTTGCTTTTGCTGCTAATGGATGAAGATGGGGTGGAGCCTGTAGAGCCTCCAAGGCTGTTGGACCTCTTGCGAGACACATTGCTCCGTCGCAGTGTCGCCCTGGCAGCGACCTTGAAGGCATGGGCAGCAGTACTACAGCGCACCTCCTCAATCGTGTTGCGCGAGGGCTTGAAGAGGATGATGTAGACCTTGTTGAAGAAGATGCAAGCTAGAAGCCCAAAACTAGCAGCAAGGATTGCAATCACCTCCACGGCAGAGACAAACTTGCCGTAGGTGCTGGCATAGGCTGGAATGAAAGAGATCCAGACAATGAAGAAAATCAGCATGCTGAAAGTAATAAATTTGGCCTCATTGAAGTTTTCTGGCAGTTTGCGGGACTTAAAAGCAAAGAAAAAACAGATAGCAGCCAATAGGCAAGTGTATCCAATCAAAAAGCCCAGTGCCATCAAGGAGCCTTCGTTGCAGGTGATGAAGATGATCTCATCCTCCAGCTCATGGTTCCGGAAGCTGGATGGGGGAGCTGTATACAACCAAATGACACAGATGACTATTTGCACAAAGGTGCACAGGAAGACCAGGAGAAACTGGAGGTTCATGCCCCACCACTTGCGATGGAGGCTTGTGGGTATCTTGGCTTCAAAGACCAGAAGGACCCGATTGGTCTTCACCAGAATGCAGGAGATGCAGAGGACAAAACTGATACCAAAAGCTGGCTGTCGCAAGCGGCAGTTCCAGTCCTGGGGCTCACCAATGAAGAAGAGTGAGCTGGAGAAGCAGCACAGCAAGGAAAAGAGAAGGAGGTAAGAGAGTTCACGGTTTGTGGCCTTGACAATGGGTGTGTTGCGAAATCGAGTAAAGACACCTAGAACAAAGGAAGTCAGAAAGATGCCCAGTATAGCAAAAAGGGTGAGAGCAATCCCAAATGGCTCTGTCCAAGAGAGAAATTCTATTTGCTTTGGAATGCAGACAGTGTGGTTTTCATTGGACCAAAAGTTTTCAGCACACTTCTCACAAGCACTGGCATCTGGAAAAAAAGAAGACAATATTAGACACAGATAGCACTATGCTGCATCTCTTTCAAGGAACATAGTGTGCTATTACAGCTGAATGCATCAAAAAGAAATTTGTTGCGTATCTGCAGGTATCTTAAGACTTCATCACATTGGAGCAGGGAAGTGTCTGGCAGACAACAGCTCCATCTCACTCTGTTTTGAAATGGATGTTTTCTCTACCTTCATCACACTGTTAAATGTCTTAGTTTTCTTTCCATATTCTTTCACTGCAGTTGTCTTCATACTGCAGAGATTTGGCCCCATCCACCATCCCTCTCCCTGCTCATTGTTGGAAAAAAAACCCTCTTCTCTTTTAAATCCCTACTAATGTGGAATTCTAGGTGAGATCTGAGAAGTTCTGAGCATGCTCAGTCTGTCCAAACACTGCCAAAGGAAGGAACCTGAGAGCAACAAATGCCATCACATTACAAATTTGGTAAAACACGGGGATCATTTCAAAGAACCCACTTCCACACCACCTCCAGAAACGTTGGAAAAGAATGCTGGCCCCCACGCTTAAAATATGCTAAGAATACTGTACCCTACACTTGAACCTAAACTAATGTGATGAACACAGGGAGTTACCGGATTTAAACTGTAGTACTCAGTGGAATTTAACTAGTGTCAGCGAAGTGGAAGTGAGTGCTGTTGCCGCACTCGTAGACAGTGATCGCCACCATACGATTCATGAGTTGGCCTGAAACACAGGATTTGCGCATATGACTGTGCTTCATATTCTGAAGGAATGATCACTGTCTACAGCATTCACTTCCGCTTCACTGACACTAGGATGACCAGGCCGATGCATGTCTGCCACATTTTGGCATCCTTTGTTGAAGGATTTTACCCATCTTGCCACTGTTCTGTAAGGCAATGCAGATTCCCCGCAAGCCTCTTGAAGACCTTGATGACACTGTCGTGCTGTACGACCTCTGGCACATTCAGTCTTTATCCAACTCTGTTGTTCTTGTTTCAAAAACATTGTGACAGCACTTACTTTAGACCACAAGCTAATACGAGGCTCAGTTCTTCACGTCACTCCACATGCGCAGGATGCAGGAAGGGCCAGTCTTTTTGCTCAGAGGTAAGGTAGGTATGTAACTAACGTGTGGTATACGCAACATTCTTTGGTTTCATTACATGGCGTCTTTACAGTAGTGTTGCCACTATTAAAGTTCCAACCCTTGTATTTCCTGAACCAATGCTCAATTAGTTGGCAAATCTTTATAAAGCATGCCCCATTCATGAGGAAGTCTTACATGATAAAAGGATGTGTCACGTTTTATCTCTTTCTGCTGCTGCTGCTTTTCCTGGAAAATATTCCTTCATGCACTCGTTTATCTATTGGAACAAGCACTAGATGCGATGTGGCTTAGACAGTGAAGACCAATTTTAAGAGGCATGAAGCTTACAGATAAAATTCACAGGATTTGTAATGTGGGTCATGTGCTACTACTTCAAGGGAGCAAGTCTTTCCTGTTGTTTTACTGTATAATTATATGTCAATTTATGGACAAATGGGGAGGTAACTAGATTCTTCTGGGGATCCTAATTTCTTCTCTACAACAAAACTAAAAATGGAAATTTAGAATTATGACATTGATTTGGGGGGTGAGGGATGGTTAGAGCGTTTTTCACTGAAACATGTTGACTGTAGCTTTCCTAGCAGAAAGATTCTTAAAACACTATTCCTGTCTCCTTCTGTGGAAATGTCACTAAAAAGAAGAGAGTTCAGCAGCGAATCTTACCTGTTTCATCACTGATCTCCCCATCAGTACATTCTACGCATTCAAAACAACAAGTGGGCTCGCCCTCAATAATGCCTTTCCTTGTGCCTGGTTGGCAGTCTCTGCTGCAGTTGGAGAATGGCACCTGTACGGGTACAATACAATAGCGATCTGGTTACATAAGGACAGCTAGAAAACCGGCAGAGTATGAAACATCAGATCATTGAATAATAGAATTCTCGAGTTGAAAGAGACCTCATGGGCCATCCAGTTCAACCCCCTGCCAAGAAGCAGGAAAATCACATTCAAAGCACTCCCAACAGATGGCCATCCAGCCTCTGCTTAAAAGCATCCAAAGAAGGAGCCTCCACCACACTCTGGCACAGAGAGTTCCACTGTTGAACAGCTCTCACAGTTAGGCAGTTCTTCGTAATGTTCAGGTGGAATCTCCTTTTCTGTAGTTTGAAGCCATGGCAGCGGAAAACAACTTGCTTCCTCTTCCCTATGACTTCCCCTCACATATTTATACATGGCCATGATGGATAAATATGGTTCATCCCAGGTATTGATCCTCCTCAGGTTCCCTGGAGACGTAGCCTTGTGATTTCCTTTTCCTGACAGTTATTGCCTGGACCTTAATGGGGAGGTAGAAGTCAGGGAATTTCTCTTCTTGCTTCCACAATCATAATATAAACAGATCACAAGTAGATATCATCAGCTGAGGTTTCAAGGTTGAAAAATTTGAAATTTTCAGTAAACAAACTTGGGGGGGGGGGGAGCTAGGAGGGGTATCAGTTCTCCAAACCTGATGTGAGATTCAATCCTGAGAAAATTACACACCAACCAAAAATCTGCAGCTTGTTCAACAGCCTCTGCCTGTTAGTGCATCACATGGAAGCAACCAAGCAGAACACAATGGGAATGAAAAGGTTGCTGTTGTTGTCTGAATGTATTCCTTTTATGCAAACTCCAGCTTGAGAAAACACTTTTAAATTGGGATAGCAGTGGCCCCAAGTTGGTTTTGTTATTTCAAAAACATGAATTTAAAAAAGCAATTCAGAAAGGAAACCTTTTCTACAAGATGGGCAGATGCAGATTAAATGCTTGAGATGGACTGCACAGAAAAAAGTTAAACATACAAGTAAACAAAGCCTTTCATTTTCCTACAAATATAGAGAAGTAAAAGCAGAAAAGTTCAAATGTGGGAAGCAGGGTGTGCTCCCACTGTTAGCCCCAGCATCTGCCAACGTAGCAGTGAGAATGGGTCATTTATGTCTGCCAATGAATTGGGGGCTCAGTAGACTTCGCCAAAAGAAATCCCACTTAAAAAAGAAAACCCAGCAAAGCAAAGGCCAATGGCTTTAGCAACTGATTTCTGCCAAATATTTCTTCCCCTAGCACCAACTGCCGCTCTGGGCCAGAGTGAAGAGAGAGGGGACCAGGGGACAGTCCCACCTTGTTTCCTGTGCAATGCTAATAATATAATATAATATAATATAATATAATATAATATAATATAATATAATATATTGTATATACATATAATATTTATAACATTATAATGCAATACAATATAATACTACTACTAATAATATGATATTATAATTATATATTTATATTACATATAATATTACTAATAATATTAAAATATAATGGTATAGTACAATATAATATTATTTAATACTGATATTGTACTATGCTAATAATATAATATAATATAATATAATATATATATCTTGTGAGCTGCTCTGAGTTCCCTTCGAGGTGAGAACAGTGGCATATAAATGCTGTAAATAAATAAATAAATATAATGGATCTCTGGGGAGTGATAATGCGGTTATCTTGACACAGGCGATTGGTGTCTCTTACCTCCTTTGAGAACCCACTCCATAGGATCTTATTTTCATTGATAAACAGCCTCTCTCCTTTCTTGGCATAAACATTATAATGTCCAACCTCCTCAAACACAATGGAGCCATCCTCTGGTGACAGGTGCCAATTGATGATGGAGTAATTCCCTATTAGGCCACCAGACTCATCAAAATCCACTTGTTCACCCATATTATTCGTGAAGTTCAGATGACGTAGATGTTTCAGCACCTAGAGGTAAAAGGACACAGACACATGGAAATATTACTTGAAGATGAAACACAAGTCTGTTTCCCAAAATAAAAATTATAAAATGCTTGAAATAGGGTGGAATCTTGTGAAATACTATTCTTGGCTTTTATGGAATGTTAATTACATTTTCTTTTAAGACATTCTGTATATAGTATTGTCACAAAGAGCAACCACAAAAGGCGAAGCTAAAATATTACATCACCCCTTTGAAAATCTTCATCCTTTCTGTGATATGGGAAGAAGGAGGGGAAAATCAATAGTGGAGGGAAGGCTCACTGGAACAGGAATGGCTTCATTTGCCTTTCAAATTGGAAATAATGGTACTCCTACTCAGTCTTATAAACATGCAATTTCTGCCAATGAGGGTTTGATATGTAGTTTTTTCTATTTTCCCAACTGAACAGTTGGCAGTTGTATTCTTACTAGAGATGTCAATGTCATATCACCAATGCGCCATTATTCCATCCTTAAAATCAAGAACAACGGATTTCAGTAGCTTTCTCCTTGTTATGGGAGAAAACAAATACTTTACTGCAGTAATCTCTTCTAATCTGAATTTTTCAATGTTGTGGGAGAATTATTCTGTGGTTAAAAAATGTTTCCTAAGCACAGAAAGCAGAGTTTTTGTGTGTAAATATCTTAACTATGTGGGCTTTTCTGTAATGCAGACTTTCAAAACTGGGCTGTGCATTACATTCAATTGTGCATTATACTCGAGTAAATATGGGTAGGTATAATTGTAAAAACGTTATGGAATTTCAAACATAGTATGAAAAAAAGCAATAGTTAACATGTCCAATTTTCATAATTGGAATGCAAATTGTATTAATTTGTCTAATTAGAATAATTTGCATAATGCACATATCAATTGCCTGGATTTCGAGGAAATGGGATTCTTAATTCCATGAGTCAGAATAACTACACAAAAAGCTTTATCTGGATAAATTTCTGGAAAGTGAAGTTGGATTATATGAAATCCAGTAAAGAAATAAAAATGCTATTCAGAAGTAACACTAAGAAATCAGGGTTAACAAGATTTGCTCCTGAACCTTTCAGCTTGAACTCACAGAAAGAAACAAAGCAAGTGAAATTTCTCTCATCTCTTCCTTTCCAATTAAGGAAGCTTCATTTTCATGAATTGAGCTATATTAAAGGGTCAGGAAGAAGGCCAGCAATGTTAGCCAAGAGTTCAATGGGCAAAAATACTGTTTTCCTATATTTTCAGAACATCATCTTTGAATGTTCAAAGAATAAAGAAATAGAGCTGGAGTGCATAATATTTTTTAAAAGTTATAGAATTGCATTGCATCTCTTACGCAGTTTACTATATATTTGTATGCAGAAAGGGGCAAATTAATTTTACTCAGTCTTTTGGATATAACCAATATAGTCATTCTATCTGTATAAAACATATACAAACAACAGAGCAATGCCAGATTATAACATACTTTGCAAAATGAAATTATCACTTCTACTATTCTGGGAATGGTGTCCAATTCTGGGCACCACAATTGAAGAGAGATATTGACAAGCTGGAATGTGTCCAGAGGAGCGACTAAAATGATAAGGGTCTGGAGAACAAGCCCTATGAGGAGCGGCTTAAGGAGCTGGGCATGTTTAGCCTGAAGAAGAGAAGGCTGAGAGGGGATATGATAGCCATGTATAAATATGTGAGAGGAAGTCACAGGGAGGAGGGAGCAAGCTTGTTTTCTGCTGCCCTGGAGACTAGGACGCAGAACAATGGCTTCAA